TATAAAGAAAATAGTTTAAGAACCAGTAGATGCCTTCACATCCTTGGGTAATGGATTAAGGGAATCTCTGGCTAATTGGCTCTTATTGTTTCTCTATTAAAGCCTTTTGACTCGGATGAAGAGACACGGAAGGGGAGAAATCATTGGAATTCAGAAACTGAATTCAGGTGACACTTACCAGACCGCCCTTTTGAGTGGCTCGGATGAGGAATGAGCCGAGATGTGGAGGGCGTAGATGTCCCACCGAACAGCTGGAATGAATGGAGTTCATCCCCCCACCTGAATGCCTGCCGTGGTCTGATCTTAAGGGTCTATGTATTTGCACCTCCTCATTCAACACAAGGCTGGAGGTTCTAGAACAGGAAATCAGGCCTACAGCATCCTGTGTACCTTGCAGTTGGGATTTTTAACATAATTTAAAGTCTGTGTTGGTATAGTACCCCTCATAAGGAAAAATTAGGTAAGGCCTCCAAGCAGCAGGCCTTTGTGCCTCAGTGTAAAGAGAAATCAAGAGATGCTAAAAGCTTTACAATGGAAATGGCCTCGTGGATGAATCCAGGGTATGAGTCCAGCAGGAGAACTTGCTGCTTTTGGTAACTTATCCCTTTTTCTCTTAAGAAAGCAGGTACTTTTTTATTAGAAACATGTTAGAATGTGTAAGCAAATGACAGTGCCTTTAGAGTTGTAACTCTAACTTACATATTTTTTAAAAGTAAAATAATTCACAAGCTTTGGTATTTTAAACTACTGTTAAACATATCATAACTAATCATACCAGGGTACTAAACCACTGTTTATAAGTGACAAAATTAGGCCAAAGGTGATTTTTTTTTTTAAATCAGGAAGCTGGTTACTGGCTCTACTGAAAGTTGGGGCCCTGACGTTCTGACTCCTCAAAGTCACCCTAATAGAAGATCTGATAGGAAAGCTGTATAATGAGGTAGAGAGAAAAATATCAGGTGTGGAAGGCTTTCAATTTTAATATAGCTGAAAGCAAAGGATAACGAATTCAGAATTAGTAATGTAAAGTATTGAAACCCTCATCTTGCTTCTGGATCTGTTCTTTTTAAAAAAATTCCTTCACTGCACCTGTAATCCCAGCACTTTGGGAGGCCGAGGCAGGCGGATCACAGGGTCAGGCGATCAAGACCATCCTGGCTAACATGGTGAAACCCTGTCTCTACCGAAAATACAAAAAATTAGCCGGGCATGGTGGCAGGTGCCTGTAGTCCCAGCTACTCAGGAGGCTGAGGCAAGAGAATGGCGTGAACCTGGGAGGGGAGCTTGCAGTGATCCGAGATCATGCCACTGCACTCCAGCCCAGGTGACAGAGCAAGACTGTCTCAAAAAAAAAAACAAAAAAAACTTCCTTCAACAAGTATTTATTAAATATCTACTTTGCAACAGCACTGAAATGGCTGTAAGGACTCCTGAGACAGGTGTCCAGCAAGGAGTTTATAGTCAAACAGGAGAGACATGCCAGTAGTTACACCCAGTGTGATGGGTGCTATGAGAGACAAGTACAAGCCACGATGAGAAAAAGGAAAGGAGGGGAAATACAGAACTTGCCCTGTAGAAAAAACCCATCCCAGGCTGAGAGAGTAGCACATTAAAAAATGAAAGCATAAAAAATATGGAGAACTTAAAAAGATTAAGTTCTACAAAATGATAAAAGTGGGTTAGGACCAAGTTGATGGGCCTTAGAGACCAAATAATACTTTCCATGTGCATAGTATTTTTCAGATTCTGAGATGCGCCCGATCTCATTTGGTTCTCACAACTGCTTGTAATGTGTAAGAGCATGAGGTCTTTCAGAAAAGCTGGCAGTCCTAGCTGGGCACAGTGGCTCGTAATCCAGCACTTTGGGAGGCCGAGGCGGGTGGATCACGAGGTCAAGAGATTGAGACCATCCTGGCCAACATGGTGAAACCCTGTCTCTACTAAAATACAAAAATTAGTTGGGTATGGTGGCGGGTGCCTGTAGTCCCAGCTACTTGGGAGGCTGAGGCAGGAGAATCACTTGAACCCGGGAGGCAGAGGTTGCAGGGAGCCGAGATTGCGCCACTCCACTCCAGTCTGGCGACAGAGCACTCCATCTCAAAAAAAAAAAAGGAAAGAAAAGTTGGCTGGCCTAAGACCACACAGATGCCAGGTGGCAAAGCCAGTCTTCAGTATGACTCCAAACCAGGCCTCTCTCTCACCATTCCACCCTGCTACGTCACACAAACCCAGGAGAGAGAATTTACATCCAGCACTGCATGCGCTTTGGAAGAAATGCTGTACTTCACTAAATGAAGGTAACCTCCCAGGATTAGCCAGCCTTTCAGAGCTGAAGTCACTGTTTAGGGATTCAAAATAAGCTACTAAAAGCACTAATTTAGTTATTAGAGAACCCCGGGTTCCACTTTCAGGAGCCACCTTGGTTGGCCAGTGGAGAAACACAAGCATTTTTCATTCAACAAGTCCTGAAGGACCTATTATTGGCAATCAACATAAAATGTCTTCTTTCCCTGGGGATTGGAGATGGGCAGAAGGACCTATTCAGTTTTACTTTCAAAGATCCACATGAGTTATTTTTAAGTGTACCATATTATAAGAAAATGTACTATTTTCTCAAGAGTGAGGGGCTGAGGTGTGAAGAACAGATATATTAAAATGTATTTAGATGCCCTTCACACAGCAAGGCTTGTGATGCCTTCATGGAAGTAATCAACCCTATCATAAACATTATTAGATGTGGTATTAAAGTATACACTGATGACAATACTATTCTCCACATGCTGTCTTAGATGTGTTTTCTGAAGAATTTTAACAATCTCTGTCAACCAGAGGCTCAATCGTTGCCACCAGAAGTCCTTCTGGAATCATTCCCTACAAAACACCCACCATGGCCGGATGCAGTGGCTCACGCCTGTAATCCCACTCAGCACTTTGGGAGGCTGGGGCAGGCAGATCACCTAAGGTGAGGAGTTGGTGACCAGCCTCGTCAACATGGTGAAACCCCATCTCTACCAAAAATACAAAAATTAGCAAGGCTTGGTGGCACATGCCTGTGATTGATCCCAACTACTCAGGAGGCTGAGGCAGGAGAATCGCTTGAGCCCAGAAGCCAGAGGTTGCAGTGAGCTGAGATTTCGCTGCTGCACTCCAGCCTGGGCTACAGAGTGAGACTCCATCTCAAAAACAAAAACAAAACACTCACCATAGCTGCACCATTCATCTATCAGAAACCTGAAGCCAGCATACGAAGAAAGTTAGTGTGGCACAAATCCTGGGCTGTCACCGTAAACAGCTCCAGTAGGGAGTTTCCATTCTACGCTATTGCTATTCCACCCACAGGCTGGATAGTGCGAAGGTACACGTCCTGACGAGTCAGCGTCCTGAAGCAACCTGAACTTTACACTCACTCCCTGTTCTCCAGAATGCACACGTCTGCATGTGCAAAAAACGACAAGCAGAGCCAGTTGACCTCAGCAAACAGGAATGTAGGCAGGGCTGTGGCTGAATGCCAGAGCTACTTTTATGAAATTCCTTGTTAATAAATTCAGAAGGGGTTTGTTTGTAGCTGGCAGTAAATACCTAAGACAGGATCTCTGGAATTTCTACCCTTTTTTTTTTTTTTCTTGTTTAAAAACTGCCACATGGCTTTCCAGGTGAAATGTGATTCTTGAAAATAACAAAGATACGCAAATATCAAAGGATTATCAAACGCAGACACACTCGCCTTTCTCAAGTGGAAAGACCCATTTCCCCGCACTACATCCTACCTCTCCCCACTGCCAACCTCGTCCCGTGCCAGTCTACTTGCTCATCACAAGCTCAACCTGGGAGGCCCATTCACCTCTGCTCTCTGCAATGCAGGCTTCCGACCTCCTAAGACTGGATCGCCCCCAGGCTCGCCAGGATACATCACAGCCCTCCTGCCCGGAGGAAGGCAACAGAAAGAGACTGGACTTAGAATCAGAAGCTTCTCTTTAACTTCAACTCAGACTCATGTCTTCCAACGGTTAAAAGAGGAATGATGACACTGGTTTTACAGAATTGCTCTAAACGAAATGTCTGTGAAAGAGCTGTGGAGCCAGCCAGCCTCCCAGATCCTCCTCCGCTTCTTGGCAACCGCCTAACCACCCAACAGCTAAGCCAGCCTCCTTCCATCCCACATCCTCCAGCTCCACCTCTTCACCCAGAACCCACAAAAGAGCTTCAATACACTCCAAAAATTAAAGATACGTTTTTAATAATTTGGGCACTTTCAAGAGTCAGGGAAGCCCTATCACCTCAGAAAGCCTTCACCACTCACTGCTGCCCCAAAACAAGAGACACATATATTGTTGACAACCAGTGCTTGCATTAATTACATTTTAAAGTATCGTCCTGAGCTCTCCCTGTAGCTGACAGAGGCTGAGAAGCATGAAATAGCCAGGATTAAATGACCTGCAAATCTAGACTGGCTTCTTTTGGGGCTGGTACTGCCAGCCAGGCGGATCCCTGTTCCTTGCACCCCCACTGTCCTCCACCGTCTCTACTCTGGAGCAAGGCTCAAAAAACTTTGTGTTTTTTTTTTTTTTTTTTTTTTTTTGAGACAGAGTCTCACAGGCTGGAGTGCAGTGGCATGATCTCGGCACACTGCAACCTCCGCCTCCCGGGGTCAAGCAATTCCCCTGCCTCAGCCTCCTGAGTAGCTGGAACTACATGCGCACACCACCACGACCAGCTCATTTTTTGTAATTTAGTAGAGACAGGGTTTCACCATGCTGGTCACGATGGTCTCGGATCTCCTGATGTTGTGATCTGCCCGCCTCGACCTCCCAAAGTGCTGGGATTACAGGTGTGAGCCACCGAGCCCAGCCACCAAAAAAAAAAAAAAAAAAAAAAAAAAATTCTTAAAAGGCCATATAGGAAATAGTTTAGGCTTCAGGGCCACACAGTCTCTATGTCAACTACTCAATTTTGCCTTCGAATCTGAAAGCAGCCACAGATAATACAAACACAAATGGGTCTGGGCTGTGTTCCAATAAAACTTTATTTACAAAAACAAATGGCCGGCCCCAAGAACCTGGTTTGCAACTCTTGCTCTGGAGCAGAGCAGAATGTGTACTATCTGAACTGCAACAAAGTTTGTGCTGCAAAAGCAGCACCTCTGCTGTCATTCCCCTCCTCTCTGTCCACTGGCTCTGTACGTCCATGTGAACAGGCTTGCCAAGAAGGATGAAGCGGGCAGGTGAAGCTGAGGGGGCCACAATCAAGATCCCAACACCCCTATCTTTAACAGGCAGTGCCAAGAGAATCCCATTTCAGGGGACCCACTCTACCCTGCTGCCTACGGTGTCTTCCCATCTTACAGCCTCTTGATTACTATGCAGTTACCAAATTGGCTACCACCTTACTAAGATTCTTGCCATTTTCTTATTCTAGTCAAAAGAATAAGTCAGTTTGGTGGACAGGGCAGCTAAAGCCCAAGTTTGTATTTGATAAAGATGTACAACAGGTTCTTTAAAAAAATAAATTACATAAAATTTTCTGGACACAAACTCCTATCCAGACCACTAGTCATGGAGAAGACCAGAAGCCAAAAAATACAATCCTCATGGAGAACCAGCTTATTCACTGTCTGTGCACTCTGCGACTGGTAAGCCTTCCCTGGGGGTCTTACTATCAGAACTCTGGCTTGTAGGACATAACTGGTACCTCCTGCAATTCCAACAGAATATTCTCCTAGATTGGTAGACAGCAGACCCTGGAACCCTGGAGTGAACCTTTCTCAGGGTGCTCCACTATGGCACGTGGCAGCAGAATCCAGGCCACTGTTGCCATCACCCCCAGCTTGGCTGCCTTGAACAGGCAAGCTTAAAAGAATGATGCAACCTCCCTGCTCCCTTCTCAGCCAGGACAGACCAGGCATGGTGTTTCATGGAAGCCATCCTCTCTCATAATCATTGTTGCTCAGGTGCCTGTTTAGGAGATGGAGCTGTAGTCACAACAACAGTGGAGACTGCTTTGGAGGAGCCAGAAGCTGTTCCCTGTTGGAGATGGGATGCAGGGACAGTCTGGATGCGCACCTGTTTGCAAAGAGAGAAGGTCAGGTCAATGGACTGCAAGTGGGCTCACCAGTTAAGAACAGCAGTGGAGTCAGAGAGGAGCCCGATATTGCGAAGAATTTGCCCTGGGCCTTACCTGTGTGGCCTGACCTTGCTGCTGAAGCTGCTGCAACTGCTGAGCAGTGAGGAAACTAACAGGCTTATTGCCAGCAATGAGCTTAGTGCCCGCTGGCATAGTTGTGAGGATGATGTTGCGGCCCAACCCACTGAGGCTGTGGAGGGAAAGCAGGGGTGAGGTATAACGATATCAGCGGGTATTCTCTGGCCCAGATTTAGGCCATGCATTGAAGGACAACAGGGAGGTCTGTGCCAATGAAAATCCCAGCATTTCAGATTGAAATGGAACCCAATTGCTGAGACCACCTTTCTTCTAGCTTTTCCACTTCCCATGGCAGGAGAAGACAGTAATCCCAGAAGCCCCTACTGCTCTGGATAAAATGGCCCTTGGCTCCTGGCCCTGACCAGCAGGAATAGTGGACAGGGCCCCAGAGAGGTATGCATGTCTGCAAGAAACCCTCCCCCTAATAGCCACATCTCATAAGCTGCCCTGAGACTGCCGGACTGATTTCAATGTGCCCTTTATCCCTGTTTAAATCAAGGCCACAGGTGGCCCTCATTCCCTCAACTGCTTCGGTTCAGAGTTCAAATGTCAAAGGCAGGGCCACAGGTGGCCCTCACATCTAGCTGAGCCCCATCCTAGCACTCCCCACACCCTTTTCTCTCCAGTATGTATCACCACGCATGCTGCTTTACTATTACTTCTCTACTCTACAGTGTATGCTTGGAGAACAGCAAGGATTTTCATCTGTTTTAATCACAGCACCTAAAACAATACTAGGTGCTCAATAAATACCATTGATAAGCACAATAAAGGAGAGGTGTCAAAGGAGGGACCCAGAAAGACCAGCCACTTTGTCATTCGGTGACAAGGACTGGTAAGCCCTGCCTGCCACCTCCACCTCGAAATTGGTTCCTTCACAATGACATAGTACTTACTTGGCTCCAAGGTTGCCTTTGATGATGGGGGCTGTGACCACACTCTTGCCCTTCATTGGCTGGCTGATCACAGACAGGGGAACTGTGATCCGTGTAGGCAACTTCCCCTAGAAAGAAAAGGCAGTCAGGTTTTGTAAGACAGGAGGTAAGGAAAACCAGCAAGTGTCACCTCCAGGGCATCAGGAACTGAGGAGCAAGCACTACAGATGCTGTGAGTCCCCAGAACCCAGCAGGGCCTCAAGGCTCCTAAGGTTTGGACCCAGGAAACCGTAACGAAACTACTTATATACCATAGTCAGGTGAAATCTGATCTTTTATCATCCTCTTTCATGCTACCAAAAGCAGCAGCAACCCTATCTATCTGCTTTCAACAGGATAAAACCTGTATCTAAATCACAAAGGCAGGTGTGTCCTCGCTTTAGCACAGTCCAAGATTCTGAGTTCCTTGGAGGACAGAGACTTATCTCTGTATCCCTCAGTACACAGCACAGTGCTGGGCACACAATCACTATTTGGTGAAATAAATTCGAGGAAGGACAGAGGACCTCAAGAGTTAATACCTAAAGCACACAACTACTCACTGGAGTGCAGGGCCACTGGTGAGGAACAAACAGCAGGGCACCCTAGATTAGGGAGAGGCCATGCTCTCTGGTGCTTTCCATTTCTCCCGGAGATAAGAGAGATTAGCTAGGGGACACTAATAATAAACTCAATCAAGTGAAAAGTCCAACCCCCAAGCTAATAAAGCCTAAAAAGAATTTTTTTTAGAAACTGAGAAGGCCTAGAGTCTTTGGGACTTGGATGGTTAAGACAGGTCACTGCGTCACCTGTTTTCAGACTGCCTTGGTTTTAATGCTTGACTGGTAATAAAATGTACATGCAGTAAAATCTTAGGTAAATTAAATCTGAGTTTTAAAAACTTCAAGAGGGCTGGCTGACAGGATGCTGGGAGAGGGCATCAGCATTCCACAGAGGCAGGCTAACTCTAAGGAGACGGGCACTCAGCTGCAAAACTGCACCGCAGGTCCCTGCACCTATCTCCATGGGGTTCACCCACAGCCTGGAGCCTGTTAAAAAAGCATGCAGAGGGCAACAGGCAACAGAATTCCTTGAGACGGTACCTCCAGATACATTTACTTATGGTTTTATTTTCTTCCTCAAAATGCCTTTGTTGCTTAAAACATCTCAGGCCAGTACATCACCTAGAATGATCCCTTCAGGAACTACCTAAAAAGCTGACTAGACGGTGGGAAAAAGCACCATCAGTACTTCCCGCCCCACCAAATGCTCTCCAGTTGCACCTACCCAGGTTGATTGTAACAGGACAGATGACACTTGATACAACCTTTCTATGTTAGAAGGATTCAACAGAAACAAAAGTGGATCAAGTGAGTGCAGTTTCCCCGCTTCCTTATTTCAACTTTTATGATGTAGAAACCTAAGTAACTACTTTTGTGTGTGTGTGTGAGATGGAGTCTTGCTCTGCCACCCAGGCTGGAGTGCAATGGTGCGATCTTGGCTCACTGCAACTTCCACCTCCCGGGTTCAAACAATTCTCCTGCCTCAGCCTCCTGAGTAGCTGGGATTACTGGCACCCATCACTACGCCCGGTTAATCTTTGCATTTCTGGTAGAGACGGGGTTTCACCGTGTTGGCCAGGCTGGTCTCAAACTCCTGACCTCAGGTGATCCGCCTGCCTCGGCCTCCCAAAGTGCTGGAATGACAGGTGTGAGACACTGCGCCTGACCAACTATTTCTTTTTTAACCACACTATGTTAAGGTTTTCTGTTTTGGGTGTTCATTTGACTTATGTTTACATCCTTCTTCATTGCTCTGGCTTTTATCCCAATTAATGAAGGTTTGCCTACATAGCTTGCTCAGTAAAGTGAAACTGTATTTTATGCTGTCCATACACACCTCTCTTCTGAACAATGCTCCTTACCTAGAGGCTAAAGAGTAAACACACATGCATCCACAGACACCTGTGTGGATATGAGGATTTGGTTTATGATAACTGTAGCCTTTCAAGCTAGTGGGGGAAGCAACAGTTGATTAGTTTGGCAAATTTGAAAACTGGGAAATGAGATTTCAACTTCATCCTATTCACAAAAATATATTTCAAATGCATTAACAATTCTACTTTTGTTTAAAACTCAAAGTATTTTATGAAAATAAAGGTTAACATTTTATAACCCTGGGGTAAGGAAGACACAGACACAAAACCTACCAGCCATTAAAGGAAATGCTGACAGATCTAATTAGATACAATTACAAAGCTCTGTAGAGCTACAGACTCCATCTATAAGGTTAAAAGATGACAGGCTGGAAAAAATATTTTCTATGCATATGAAGAATTCACATCCACAGATTCCGTATCTTCAGGATGTTATAAAAAGCCACCTCAAACAATATGAAAATGCCAAATACCGCAAAAGTGGCAAAGATTTACTCCCCAGGGAGCGCATGCCAACCTCCAAATGAATGGATACTCAACTTCACTCACATCAGGGATATGAAATCAAAAAAGAACCCCCTTTTCACCAGTAAGACATGTATATGAGGTTAAAAAGACGTGGTATCAGCACTGGTTAAGGTAAGGCCTAGGGGAAACAGGAGGCTTGCTGATAGGGGCACACGTGGATGTGGCTTTTCAGGCGGTGCCGCTGGAGTATCTCAACTCCCCATGTGTGCACCCCCAAGACTGGCGCTAGCACTCTCCACTTCAGAAACGTTCACACATAAGCCCAGAAACATTCGCCACTGCCTGGTTAATAGTGGAAACGCATCCTTTAGCAGAGCCCCTTCTACTGGTTGCTATACCATTAAAAAGACCCCAGTCAATATCTGTGTATGGCCTAGAATGATCAAGACATTTACAAAAAATAAAGAAGGCAGGCAGGGGCAGTGACTCACGCCTGTAATCCCCAGCACTTTGGGAGGCCAAGGTGGGCGGATCATCTGAGGTCAGGATGTTCACAACCAGCATGGAGAAACCCTGTCTCTACTAAAATTCCAAAATAAGCCGGGTGTGGTGGCACATGTCTGTAATCCCAGCTACTCGGGAGGCTGAGGCAGGACAATCGCTTGAACCCGGGAGGCAGAGGCTGCAATGAGCTGAGATCGCGCCAATGCACTCCAGGCTGGGCAATAATAGCAAAACTCCGTCTCAAAAATAAATAAATAAATAAATAAAGCCAATCACAGAATATATAGTCTCTCATGGGTGTTTTTTAAACTACGTGTACATGTATGAAAATGCTCAAGCACTAGAAGGATAAATGCTGAACTACCAACAGCAATTAATCTTCATGACGGGAGAACTGGAACATGGTCAGGTTTTATTTCATCTGCACTGTTCTTTACTATTTGAAAAGAATGTATGCATGTACCACACTTTGATAAATTGTGTTTCAAAGGAAAACAAAAGTCTATCAGTAAACAAATCTCTCTGGGGTAAATGAGGTGATATTTAGGGCCTCTAATTTCCACTCCTAAAAAGAAGTTTCCTAGTTTTTAGGGAGTCTCTCGCACAACGGGCAGTTGAACCTTAAGTTAGTTTTCTAAAAAGAAGGCCTAAGCTTCACCCTAGTTACTCACAGCCTGGGGCGTGGACACAACCGCGGTGCTGACAGGGACCTGGCGCACGGTGGGGGCTCCCGTGCCGATGCTGATGGGGGTGCTTGCAGTCCCAGAAGCCACAGCCACAGTCTTGGACACGGCAGCATTCATACTGGGCAAGGACACCGCTGAAGTATGGACAGTTCCAGACCCACCGGCCACCGAGGCCCCCTGCTTGGCATGGGTTGCAACGGTGATGGTCTGGCCCGCTTTGGGAGGCATCACTCCCAGTCCCTGCACGATGCGGATCGTGGCAGCTGGTTTTGCTTCTGAAGAGGCCACTGTGCTTTTTCCCTTCTGGTCAGCCACACTCACGCCAAGAGCTGGCATCAAGCGAAAAGCTGAACTTGAGGCTTCTGTTGGCTTGAGGTCAGGAGTCACTTTGACCACAGTGGTACCTGTTGGAGTGGACGAAGGGGCACTGGCTGAACTGGCCTTGGCAGGGCTATCAGCTGCATGGACTGGATTGGAAGTGACGTGTAAGGTGGCAGAGATGCCTTTGCCTGTAGCGTTGCCTCCTGTCCCGAAGAGGTCCTGGGTCAATTTGACTGTGGTAACCTGGGACTTGGCCAGCGTGGCCATCATGTCCGGAGTGATTCGCAGAACCGTCTGGCCCTTGGCATCTGTGGTGATGGAAGAGGGCGGCAGACGCAGTACATCCTTACCCTGGATGCGGAAGTTAGTGGCTGTGAGTGGAATGCTGTTGCCTGTTTGGGGCTTCACACCAAGCTGCCCAGTGATTGCCACCTGGAAGGGGAGAAGCAGCACTTACGAGGGATTCACACTAGCAAACCGGTTACAAAATACAACTAGACAAACTTCCGTTTCATGGGCAGATGTTTTGTATTTTTTTAAACTTTTTATTTTGCAAACATTCACAGAAGTAGAGAACAGTATAACAAACCCTTATAACCTTTCACCCAGCTTCAAAAATTAATACTTTGTTTTAGCTATCCCTCCCCACTGTGGTGGGGGAGAGAGGAATTAGAATATATAAAGGTAAATCCAAGATCTATTATTTTACTGATCAGTAGCTCTGTACACATCTATAACCTAGAAAAGGACTTTTTGAGACGGGGTCTTGCTATGTCACTAGGCTGGAACGCAGTGGTACAATCAGAGCTTACTGCAGCCTCGAACTCCTGCGCTTAAATGTTCCTCCTGCCTCAGTCTCCTGAGTAGCTGGGACTACAGGTGTACCAGAGCCTGGCTTCCCACCTCCTAAGGCCAAGTCCCTCATGTGTAACAGACGCAAGCCTTTTAGCCTTACTCAGGGAATTCCTCTCTCTGTGGCGTGACTGATCTTCTCCCTTCTCCTGGACCATGGCCATCAGAATGCAACCATGCTGTAATACCTCCCATCCTAAAAAACAACCAATTCTGGCTAACTCTACACCTCCCTCCACCTACTCCACTCCACACTCAACTCCAGTTCTCTGCTCTCTTCAGAAGCAAAACTCCTCTAAAAACTACCTATACAGTCACCCCTTGGTATGTGCGAGAGACTGGTTCCAGGATGTCCCCAGGCAGATACCCACGGAAGCTCAAGTCCCTTACACAAAATGCACTATCTCCATAAAACCAACAAACATCCTCCCGTGTAGGTAAAATCATCTCTAGATTACCTATAATATCTAATACATTGTAAATCCCGTGTAAATAGCTTCTATACTGTATTGGTTTTTTAATCTGTATTATTTTTTACTGTATTGTTATTTTTTATTGGGGTTTTTTCCAAATAATCCATGGTTAGCTGAATCTGAGGATGTGGAACCCACGGGTACAGAGGCCGATCGTACTGTCTCCACTTCCTCGCCTTACCTTCTCTTTTGAACCCATTCCCCAAAGCCACCACTCCACTGGACCAGTGAAGCCCATGCATTATCCTGATCCACCAAGTCTCATCTCACGCTGCCTACATCTTACACCTTCCCAACTACACTTTTCCCTCTCTTGCCGTCTCCACAACTCAATTTTCTCCTGCTTCAATAAATGATGCCACCATCGATCCAAGCACCCAAGCCAAAGCCATGGATGGGGTAATTCTCACCTTCCTCCTCTCAGACCCCTACTCAAGCCACCAACAAACTGCACTGGCTCTCCTTTCAACCAGATCCAGACCCCACTACTCCCCTCCACCTCCAATGAATGGTCACTCCTATCTATGGCAGCCTTGCTTCTCACCTGGACGACTGCTACTGCCTCCTACAGGGGTTCCCCATTTCCGTTCTTGTCCCCCGCTGTTCCTTCTATCCAGCAGCTGGATGTTTCTTTAAATGCAAACCAGATCAAGTCACCCTTGCTCACCATCTTCCAGTGGTTTCCCCTCACATTCAAATTAACTTCAAAGTCCCACAGAATCTAACCGCTGGCAACCTCTCCCATCCTTATCTTCTAACACCCTCACACTGGCTCCCTATGCTCCAGCCACAATGATTTTCCTCTCGTTCTTCAATCATATTCCTGACACAAAACATCTGCACTCGCCATTCCTGGGCCTGGAGTGTTTTATCTCCCAATCATCGCTTCATGGCACGCTCTTTGTTTCACCTCTTTCCAATGTCACCTCCCCAGAGAGGCCTTCTCCAATCACTCCAGCTAAAATAACACACTACTGCTCTCCACCTGAACCTGTCTACTGACCTGCATAGCATTTATTACTATCTCACACTGAGGTACTTGTCTCTTAGCTCTATCAGAACACGAGTTCCATGAGGGCAGGGACTTAGTCTGTTTAATGTACTATTAAATCCCCAGTACTTAGGACAGTGTCTGACTTAATGTTTGTTGAACAAAAAAAAAAATTACTTTATCATTATGTGGTTCCATTTCCTCATCTGTAAATAATAAGAGTGCCTACCCCATAGAGCTAAGAAGATTAGACTATTTAACAAGCAAAAAATGTTTAACGCAGTGCAGGCACACAGGAGGCACTCCTATCAGTATTAGTTGCTATACTGCTTAATGATTCTTTGAAGTTTGATGATTATTCTTTTATATTCACAACCAAGAAAGGAGAAGCAAATTCTACTTTTACAAGTGGTAAACTGATAAGCCAATAAAATATGGTCATGGGAATTTAACTAAATAAATTCATGGATGGTCTACTCTAAATCCAGAAACTCAACTATTAAATGCTGAATTAAATGGAATGAAACAGAAGAAACCTCTTCAGCATCTATAAAGGCTGCACTGCCTTTGGTGGGAACTCACACCTAAGTATCTATAAGCTGAGAGTCAAAGCTGACAAATCTTCTTCCCATGTGCATGCAGTCTGGCCCAGAACCTCCAGCTCCAGTGGTCCCTGCTCCAGGATGAAGGATTGAGATCCCCCTGAAAGAGCCCCACCTACCTGCTTGATGATGTTCTGTCCCGTGACGTTTTGAATGACAGCAGCCGTAGATGCACTGGGAGCAGAGGTCCCAGGAGAACTCGTGGCTGGCTTACTCACAGGGCTGGCTGTGGCAGGGAGACTGGTCACCGTGAGCCCTGTCTGTCCAGGTCCAGGCCGCTGCACAGTGGCTGCCGTAGTCTGCGCTTTGACTGGCACAGTGGCCATTACTGTCTAGTTCAGGGCATGAGGCCGAGAGCTTAATTAGACTCTAAGATGCAGACCAGCACTCTAAGCAAGAGTCTCCCTCACCACCTCCAGGAAGCACTCCTCTCAAAGAGCTCCTAATCCCACAGTGCTTAAGGCACATCACTCTCTAAAATGGACACTGTAAATGTCTTATTTGTGTACATCTTAATTTTCAGAATTTTACATTTAACATCTCATTTTATTCCTACACATTGAGGACAAATACTATTTTACCCCTTTTAGAGCAAAGGAAACTGAGACAAAGAGGATATAAATCTTCTCTAAGCTCACACAACTAGTTCATGGCATAGCTAAGACTAGAGGCACAGCAGAAGGAGCCTGAGATGTAGACTCACAAGGTCCAAATTTACAATCCGCCTCTACCAAGATCCTGATGTTAGGGTTCTGGGGAAACCACCAGACTCCTCTGAAGATCTGATTCTCAACACATAAACATACTATCTAAAAATGCTTACACAGCTTTGAACATTAAGTGGCTTATTCTGATGAATGTCATCACCAGTAGCAATAATCTATGGCTCCCCAGGTCCTTACCCAGACTCTGCCCATCTGACTCATCAGCCCACCTCTGGGTCTGCATCCCTGCTTCCCAATGACCACAGCTTCCCTCTTTACCTGAGGCACTACTTTAGTCTGCGTGGCAGTGGCTGGAACTCGGATCTGTGGTCCTGCTGGCATCTGTGGCAGTGTCTGTGCTGGCCCTGCCGACTGCTGGGGAATAGCAGGAAGGCTAGGCTGGGCCACCACTCGCACCTGGGACAGTCCGGCAGAGCCAGAGTGGCTCACGACCCGGGCAGCAGCCTGAGAACTGGGTGTAGTCTGGCTGGAAGCTGGGGAAAGCATTGTTCCCAGATGTGGCATTGTTGGTGAAGACACCAGAAGAACACTATGAAGAACATCGGGGAAAGACAAAAAACAAAAACTTGGGACATGCATACAAAAGGCCTCTAGAACAAAAAAGCTGAAGAAAAGGAGGAACTTACCCTGAGCTAGACTTAGCTGGTTCTGAGACTGTGGTAGGGCCGCTTTTGTTCACCGCCGATACAGGTGGAGGAGAGATGGGAATGGCAGGCAATGCTGGTGTGGTGGGGGTTACAGGTGTGACTGGGGTGGGTGGCATACTGGAGTCACTGAGGCTCATCTGGCTCTGCTCAGAAGGGCCACTGCTAAGGACCTTTATGGAGCTCTCCTTGCTACTGGACTTCTAGAACAGAAGACAAAGAAAACTCACCTGCAGGTGTCGTGAAGATCCCCCTAAAGGAAGGGATGCCCCTACAGCTCCTGACGCCCCACACTAAGTAAAAGCCGAGCAGCTACTCTTAGTTGCCTCCATCCCAGAATCCGTAAGGCAGACACTCTCCTGAGGTCACTTACCACCTTAGATGGGGGCTTAGGTTTTTGCTGAAGGGCTTTTCTGGCTTTAGCTGCAGCTGCTTGCGCTTGGTGAATCCGCTCTGTGAACAAGAGGGGCAAGCTTCAGCCAGAGTTTAACCTTAGCGAACTAAAAAGAGGGGCTTTGTTAAAAACCAACACCTTGCTGGTGGACTGAATCCTGCCTCTACCATCTTGCCCTACCTATATGCCAATGAAAAGAATAATGGAATTGGGGCAGAAAGTAGAAAGTATCCCCAGTCGGGCTGGACACCATCCCCAGAGGCCTCACACACCAAACTCTTCTTCACTCCGGTCACGATGCAGGTAGATCCACAGCTTTCGTCCAATGTCATATTTCACACAAGGATCTTTCTCGTAATGTAGCCGATCCAGTGCACCACTCACTACTGTATTTACCTACAAATCAGACAAAGGGAAATAAGAAACAAGTCAAGTTCAGATAACAGAAGTTATTTGGACTCCAGGGAAAAAAAAAACACGTCATTGTATCTAAATCACAGCTGATACAGATTCTATCTCAGCCTAGCTGCATATTCCCAATAGTTCACCAAATCGTTTGGCAAGACAATAAATGCTGTAAGACTACTGAGATATTGATCTATTTTTACTGTAAGGATACTGTGAAATAAGTGACCAGCCTGTCCTTTACCATAAACTAAAAGAAAGCCTAGAGCCAAATTTGTGTTTCACTAACAGCAAGGGTTTTGATCACTACGCATTTTTCAAGACACGTTTTTCACTTCATTCAGTTTTTTAAAAATTTGTTATATTTTGTATTTCTTAGTAAGTTTTCTTAAATCCACTCTGGAACAAAGCAGAAGTAATCTCTTCTCCGTCCTACCTGAGTGCTGGTGACATCTGGTGCAAGAAACTGGGAGTCCTTAAGCAGTTCACAGATTTCTGCCCGTGTGCCTTCTCCATTAGGCAGTCGAGCTGCAGCATCCCGAACTGATGACATGAGAAAGCACAGTCCACAAGTCAGGCAGGGTTCCTACAGAGGTACAACCTCCCCTACCTGCCGTGGTGGGCAACGCTCCCTGGGGTTCCTGCTCCTCTACCTTCCCTGACACCGGATTAGGTGCACTCTGCCCTCCAGCAGCTGGCAGCTCAACCACTGGCGTTCCCTACACACTTGTCTTTTTTTTTTTTTTTTTGAGACACAGTTTCACTCTTGTCGCCCAGGCTGAGGTGCAAGGGCATGATAGCTCACTGCAACCTCCACCTCCCAGGTTCAAGCAATTCTCCTGCCTCAGCCTCCCGAGTAGCTGGGATTACAGCCGTGCACCACCATGTCCAGTTAATTTTTGTATTTTCAGTAGAGACAGGGTTTCACCACGTTGACCAGGCTGGTCTTGAACTCCTGAACTCAGATGATTCGCATGCCTTGGCCTCCCAAAGTGCTGGGATTACACGTATGAGCCACCACATCCAGCCCCTATACACTTTTAAGAGTTACTTTTAGGTAACACCTTAAGAATTCAGAGGGCCTGTGAACTCAGGTGGGAAGCAAAATTACATTTTAAACTGAAATTAAACATTTCCTTCAATTATGAACAAAGGGAACAAACGATATACTGGCAGTGCTGTGATGGTGTAATGGAAATCAAACGTTTTCACATATTACAGCTACTGCAGATAGCTAAGAACATCATTTATACTCATCACTACTTGGAAATTTCAAGAAATGTCAGACCTCATGCTAGATCTTGTCATATAACATCATAGTAACAACACATATTTCTGCACCATAAACTTGTTTTAACATTTTGATAACTATTTCAAAACAAATGGTCTCTTTTGTAACTGTATTTTATTTTATGCATTTAAAAGCATAATTCTGAGAAGGGGTCCACAAGTTCCACCAGATTGCCAAAGAGATTCCTGGCATTCAAAAAGGTAAGAATCCTCACTATTAAATGAAGCACAGCCTAGGGGAAGCAAATTCCTGTATTTAACCTATTTAGCTGGTCTGGGAGCAACTCCTAACTGAACATAAACGTAAGCCCAGACTTGAGGAAGAAGACTGGGAGCTGAAGATGTCCCCTTCAGCTCCCAAACTCCAACGCTTCAAAAAACTATGCCTTGTTCTCAAGTCTACCCTGGCTGGAGGGGTGTGGAGAGGACAGAGTTCAGAGTTGATAAGAGAAAAGCTGCAGGGTGAAGAAAGGGATCTCCGATAAGCAACATGTGCCACCTACCAAGAGACAGAATGGTAACGTAGGCGGGCCGGTCGGAGCGCAGCAGGGAGTGCTCCCGAGCCTTGTTGAGCGAGGTCTCCTTGTCAAACACGCCCTTCACTGGCCCCACCACAGACTCGAAGCCGTGCATGCGAAAGGTGAACGCCTTATGGGGTTGGCTATACCGGTAACGCTCCTACCAAGAGACAAGGGACAAGGCTCCTGGTCAGAATTAGTGGGGTTCTCTCTCGGGCTTTCTTACAATATAAGCAGATCCACATGGAACAATTAAAACAGGAAGGAACAAGTGATTCTAGTAGGAATGCTCAGCCAACTACAGTGGAAAAAGGATGGTTCTCAGAGCCAGTCACTGAGCAGAGGGACAAGGAGGTAATATAAAGGCACTTTGCTACCTGGAAGACAAGATCATTCAAGTATTTCTTACTCCCCTTACCCACACTGTTTCCACCCCCAACAAGTAATCCCAGCCAACAGAAGGTCTAAGGGGAAGGCTATGAGTTTCTTGCAAGAAGGCAGATGCAGGAGAGTCAGGCTGAGCTTCTCTCTGCACGGCTCACAGAGGCACACTCACACTGGCTTTTAGGTACTTCTTACCTGCTCCTGAAAAACCCGCTTCTCCTCCCCCGTGCTGGGCCGCACCACATAGTCAGTTCTTCTGGAATATAAAAAATTCTGTATCAACCCTGAGAGCTGGCATGTGTGTCAGACCCATTGCCCCTGCTTCAGAACCATTCCCACTGTGACATGGAAAGATGTCCCTCAAGAAGCACTCAACTCTTACAAAGGAGAAAAGCCCACTTTCCAGCTCCTACGAAGGAACTCCTGTTGGTATTTACAAAATCACTGGATTCTTAGAAATCCAGAAAGGTACTGGGTGGATAGATGGGCAAGAGGCTGACATCTTTACCTACTGTTTTCAATATTGCTGCTAAGTAGGTCCATTCTATTTTTTTTTTTTTTTTTTTTTTTTTTTTTTTCCATTCATTTTTTTTTTTTTTTTTTTTTTTCTTTTGAGACGGAGTCTTGCTCTGTCGCCCAGGCTGGAGTGCAGTGGCCGGATCTCAGCTCACTGCAAGCTCCGCCTCCCGGGTTTACGCCATTCTCCTGCCTCAGCCTCCCGAGTAGCGGGGACTACAGGCGCCCGCCACCTCGCCCGGCTAGTTTTTTGTGTTTTTAGTAGAGACGGGATTTCACTGTGTTAGCCAGGATGGTCTCGATCTCCTGACCTCGTGATCCGCCCGTCTCGGCCTCCCAAAGTGCTGGGATTACAGGCTTGAGCCACCGCGCCCGGCCAGTAGGTCCATTCTAATGGCAACAAACAATTCGGCCTTAGAGGAACAAAGGGCTTCGGGAGCGTTAAATAAGGGTTATTTTTCTACCTCCAGGGAAAGTACCCAGGGGCTTGAGATCTACACCTCTATTACATGAAGAAAAAGTTCTGCCGCACTTAAGACTGGGCCTCTGCCTGGTGTCAGAAAACTATGGAACCATGCCAGGACAGAAACAGAAACATGGGACAATGTGATATAAAGAGCCTAGGACTAAGAGTCAGAAGATCTAAGTTCTAGAAGGTTAGTCCTACTGCTAACCTTCAGCAAGTCACTTAACTTCATGCTTCCATTTATTGGACTAAGGTGGCCTAGATGAATAATTCTCAAGTAGGAGCCCAGGGAGGAGTACACATTAAAAAAGTATGTCCACCTACAAAGGAGATTATATGCCCCTTAGAGGCTCTCCTGCCAGCCCCTCTCTCCATCAGACCCCATTCCACAAGGTGTCCCACGCACTCAGGGGGTGCGGCCTGCCTCAGTATGCCAAGTCAGGAAGAACCAGGGGACTCCTCAGAGCTCTGAAGTCCATTACAGCTCTAACATACCAAGAAGTATCAACAAAACCAAGGCAGTATCTGAACTACAGTTTCCCGGGACACCACCCACCACTAGAGTATTGTACTCACACCCGAGGGACAGGTGTCGTGGCATCTGAGCTGTCTTCATTTTCTTGCTGGAGAAAAAGAAAACGTTGACAGGTAAATGGACTAAAGAATTTGGGCAAACTTAAGAGCTCTGGAAACCTAGTGAGAAGGATCTGGTACTTCTTAAAAAACCATACCTTACAGAAGGCCTGATCTTTGGTCTCTAGCCATAGCTGGAAGAGGGCAGCTAATTCCTTTTCATTATCTTGGGATTGGCCTATTAGAGGAAAAAAGAGATAAAAAATAAGAAGGTCTACGGTATTACTGAGAATCCTGCTTTCTCTTTACTAGCTTTATCTACACCACAGAGAGATCCTATCAGGAGCCGTAACAACAATCCTTCATACAGCCACTGCCTTCCAGCTGGCGGAAATCAGCCTGGACCACCGCTCTTGGATGCCATCTCATCAAATCATTCACTCTGTAGGCATCTGCTGAGTACCCACTGTGCCACGCATTGCATGGGAAGCTAAGGTTACTCAGTGAATTCAGTCTCCACCCTCACAGGAGTTTACGGTCAAGTGAGGAAAGAGCACACGTTTCAAAATCAATTCGAAAGGTGGTAGGCATCACAAAAGATGTAATGATAGCTTATACCAAGGTAATTATTCTATTTTTGTAGGTAAGAGCGGTTTCTGGCTACTGGGGCACAGAGAAATTCCATTCACTAGCAGAGCAGTTAAGACCCTGGGGCAGGAAAAAGCTTGACTTCCCATGACCCGCCTAGAAAGAGATGAGCCCTGTCTCCCGTGCCCGCCTCTGAGGTCCCTCTGTTCAGGCTGTCTGAGACCCTGATGGCACCTGTGTCTCCTGCCCAGGTTAGAAGCCACAGGATCATCATCAGCCAGGTTTGCTTATGTGATGAATGCAGCTGCCCTTCTCAAAGGGGCTGTTTATCTTTGTTTTCATAGTCAATACACAATATCACTATTTGCAGAAAGCTCTCAACAATGGCACAGTAGCTTCAACTAAAGCACCTGGCTGACAAGCTTCAAATGCTTATTATCTGGCCCTGCATGAAATAGTCTGCCAGGCCCAGGTATACGTGTTCCCTCCATGGCTACTGCAGCCTGACTGACGGGGGGAGTGCTTGCCGTCAGCTACCATCACCACCTTCAGCTCACGGTGGTTTCACTTCCACTGTTCCACTAGGGACTCATGCTCACTGAAAAATTCACAACTTCCTCCATGTTCACAAATCTTTAGTCTTTATCTTACTGAATCTTTTAGGAACTATGGAGGAAAATGACCACTCCCCACTTCTCAGGCGTTCCTATCTCCTGGCTTCCAAGACTCCGGAAAACCCTGTTCCAGGCTTTCCCCACCTCCATAGTCGCACCCCCCCGCCCACACTCTCATGCTCTCACTCAGACCCTCTGCCGTGAAGAGCCCTCCTCCGCCCTCTCTCCTCACTCTGTGCTTCCTCCCCAGGTAACAGCATCATCGGTGCCCTGCACCAGACACATGCTAACACTCTCCCTCTTGAACTCTCTGGTCTGAATTCTAAACCCACACATCCTACTGTCTATTCAACAACTCCACTGGAATACTTGCTCAAACGCAGCTCTAAAACTAAAGTCAGGCTGGGTGCAGTGGCTCACACCTGTAATCCCAGCACTTTGGGAGGCTGAGGTAGGTGGATCACCTGGGCTCAGGAGTTCAAGATCAGCCTGGGCAACATAGGGAAACCTTGTCTCTACTAAAAATATAAAAAACAGCCAGGTATGGTAACGCACGCCTGTGGTCCCAGCTACTCAGGAGTAGGAGGAGGCAGGAGAATCGCTTGAGCCCGGGAGGCAGAGGTTGCAGTGAGCCAAGATCGTGCCACTGCACTCCAGCCTGATGCACAGAGCAAGACTCTGTCTCAAAAAATAAATGAATAAATAAATAAATTTTAAAAACTAAACTCGGGATCTCCACCCTCCAAGTCCAGACCTCCACAGCTGCTACCTGCACAAACAACACCTTCCTCCACCAGCTGCAAATCTAGCAGGAGCCGTGCCTCACACCATTCTCCTTCACTGCCCACAGCCAAGCCATAATCAAGCCCACCTAAATCTTTCTCAAACGTATCCATCCTCTCCCCGTGTCTAAATTATCATCAGCTCTCATAGCCTGTGGGTTGCGTGACTATTTTAGATCACATCTTCCCCATGGAAAGGTTCTAACTCCTCCACCTCGAATGCTGCTGCCTCCCCTCTGCTTGCCTGGCTCAGTCCTATTCATCATACACCTCTGCTCAGACGCTGCTTCCTCAGGAAGGTCCTCCCAACTCTGCAAACTACATCAATTCCTATTATACTTTTCCTTTACAGAAAGGATCAGTTTGTCATTAAATCTAAATAAGTATTTGTTCCCCAAACAGACCTTAGGCCCTAAGAGAGGAGCGCACTGTCTCAGAAGCCATTGTATCCCCCCCAGCACCTAACAGTGCCTGACACCTAGAAGCTGAATAAATGTAATAAATAACGAATGGATGAGTCTACTGTTTTAATAACCTGCTCTCCATACACTTCTCCACAGACCACTCAGCACAGAGAGTGAATTTCAACAGGAAACCAACACGGATTTCTCTCTTTTCACCATCACCAGGCAACAGCCTCCAAGTGACTTCAGATGCATGTTATGACAACTTACACACTAAGTGGGCTTTATAAACTTAAAAACAAGGACTCTGTTCTTTAGAAACAATTTATTCAGGGCTGCTGCACATTCTCCTCAATAGCAAAGCCCACTTTTACGAAAGAAAAATATTTATAATTACAAATTAATCCAAAGTCATTGGTATGATTAATATAAATGTTGACATTCTTGCAAAATACCCTTGCAGATTTAATTTAGCCATCACCAGACTACATCATACAGAAAGGGTATTCCTTCCATCTCAGCATTGGTCCAACCAGAGGAGTCAGTTAACCCATCTTGAGAGTACAAAAGGGTCTTGAAGGACTCCTTCCCAGAGCAAAATAAGATCTAATATTGCTTTTTTAAACCAATCTGCAGGACCATATTGATTGGAAGGCAAAGAAACTTAGGGGAAGAAATGGGAGAATGAAAACCTGTTAGGGGTAGGTAACACGGATTACTTACCAAGCAACTTCCACTGTTGGGTTTTCTCTTTGAATTCAACAAATGGAGAGAAACTGGAAGGAACAGCTGCAAGAAATGGACCACATAAACAAGCCATACAGGTGCATCCCTGAACTCTGAAACAGCTTTTGAGTGTTCCACCGTGTATTAGAAAAGCAGGAACCTTCAAGGCATAGCATTATGCAAAGGCATAATGGATTACACGAGTAAAGCTGCAGTTTATTCTTATAATTAATTCGACGAAAGGGGGAAAAAATACTGACCCTACAAAAAAAAGCACCTTACCTCGACTTTCTCCAGCAAGATACTGCAGCGCTGGTAGTACCAACTCAGCCCAGTTGGGGGCCGCAGAGAACCAGCTGTTGAGGGAGCTGGCTGGCGATGACTGCCAATCCAAAACTCGCTCCTCTAGCTGAGGGAAAGCAAAGGCAGAACCCAGTTAGACTTCTCTTCTATACCAGCAATTCCACACAAGTGCCACCACAAGCTGGGGCATATGCATCCAGAGTTTGTCCAAATCACAAAGCAAGCTAACTACAGAGCTTTGAGAGGAACCCAGACAGACTTCCACTTCTCAAGCTATAGACCATTCAGGATTTGAACACTTGAATACTCTAATGTACCTCCAACTTTTCCAAACTGCTTACCATAGGAAGGCTAGCCTGACTCTCCAGCAGCAAGATCTCTAATAGAAGAGAGAAAAAGCTGGAAGATATTTCATTGATTCCAAGGCAAGGCTTGAGGTCTTCAAGGGGCCTAACGAGGGAAGAAAAATAAAAGAATCAAAAAGACCAAGAACACATCCCTAGATTGACTCAGGCCCCCAAGCCCCCTAGCAGTCACAAGAGTTCAAGAAAGGAGCAAACAACACATTTCCCCAGCAGTATCCCTGGGACTCCAGGTCTACAAGTCCAACACACTTACAGCTACGACAAGCCCTGGGGGCCAGGGCACACCCATTCACCCTGAGAATTACAGAATCTCTGTTGCTCACTTACTCTTCCTTGATAGCAGGAATTGCCAGCGGAGAAGGGGCCTGGGAGAGAGATGTAACCCCTTCAGTACTGCTTAGAGGCTCAGCCAGGTCCTCTACCTCTGATTTGATTGTTTTTATTTTCTTCTTCTTCTTTTCCTCTTTTTCCTTAACCTTTTTTTTAAGGACAGCCAAGTCATATAAGGCTGGGAAGGAAAAGTAACACCAGTCACAGAAATGTATCTCCTACACAGGGAAGTGAGGGGTCTTATCTGCATACTCTTTTCCCAAGGCCCACCAAAGATAGAAGTCTCAGTAATAAAACACTCAATGAAACCAAATGCAGTGAGTGATTTACAGTTGTTGTTTTTTTTTTGAGACAGGATCTCACTCTGTTGCCCAAGCTGGTGTGCAGTGGTGCAATCATAGCTCACTACAGCCTCAACCTCCCTGGCTCAAGCGATCCTCCCACCTCAGCCTCTCAAGTATACGGCTTAATTTTAATATTTATTATGAAGAGCTGATAGGCCTGGCACAGTGGCTCACGCCTGTAATCCCAGCACTTTGGGAGGCCAAGGTGGGTGGATCACGAGGTCAGGAGATTGAGACCATCCTGGCTAACATAGTGAAACCACATCTCTACTAAAAACACAAAAAATTAGCCAGGCGTGGTGGCAGTCGCCTGTAGTCCCAGCTACTTGGGAGGCTGAGGCAGGAGAAGGGTGTGCACCCGGGAGGCGGAGCTTGCAGTGAGCCGAGATCGTGCCACTGCACTCCAGCCCAGGTGACAGAGCAAGACTCCGTCTAAAAAAACAAAAAACAAACAAACAACAAAAAAGCTGATGCTCTGTTGTGCTGATTTTACATTCATTTCCCACCTGTAAGCCCATAAGAGGTAATAATAAAGGTTATCAGCATGAAGGAGGCATGGTTTCATTTATCTGTGCCACATGCTATGGGCTCATGCAACTTAACACCATAGTCAGATGAAGGCTCCTAGAGGGCGCCCAGTCATTTACCTGCGAGAGAGCCCTTCCTGCCAGCATTTACTCGAGTCATGATGTCATTGAGGGTCAGGTCCCCTGTCAAAAGGTCCGGGTGATCCTAGATGTGATATCCAAAATTTGGTCATGGAGGCCCAAAAAGGAGCAAAAACTAAGGTGATTTTGCAAATTTATGTAACAATTAGATGTTAGGTACACTTGGGGAAATCACATTGAATAAAAAATACAGAGAGATAAAACTATTCAATTTTTCCCTATCATATCCCCATTTAATTTAAAAAAAACAAACTTGATACTGGTGCATAGAACCCAGTCCCAACCTTCCTATCGTACAGCATTTAGTTATAAAGCTCTTCTGCATTCCGTGTCTCATGTGCTTTGCAAACAGTCTTGTTAAGTATTATTATGTTTTACAAAATGTGGAAATAGGGTTTAGAGAAGTATCACAGTAACTAGAAAAGAGAGAGAACTCAGTACTGACTTCCCATGTGGGGTTCTTCTCATCTCACCTCCTAGCCTTAGAAGGACTGTCTTTTCTTCTCAAAAAGACATCATCTTTTCTCCAGTAAACTCTCTGAGGTGCTAGCTACCTCAACTTGGTAGCATGGAATAATGGAAACAGTAAAAAGTGGGACAAACCCAGGGCCCGACTCCTGGCTCTGCTGCTTACTGGCTATAGGACCAATGACAAGCTCCCTAACCTCTCGAGCACTGTTGAGGTGGATAACAACCATTCCTATACTCGACAGTGTCACTGTAACAATTAACGCAGACAATACATTCAGCAGGCCCTGTGAAGTCAAAGCCCCCACGCCTCACATCGTTGATGCCAGCCAGCCTCACCGGCTGGTCCTGTGCCCACATGGTAGGGAGGACATACAAACAAGGCAGTGGTGCCCCGTGTCTTCCTCAGGACAGCCAATCCTGAAACATCAGGCTGAAAACCACATAGCCGCAAGCCCTTCCCATCTTACTGGCTGATGTTTCCGCTTCTCATGGTGCTTCTTTAACATAATCTTCAGGTCACTGTCCCCCAGTTCTATTTTATCTGAGAAAACAAACCAAACCACATTCACTACCATGATTCTCCAATTTACATCTTTCCGGTCATTTGTCCAAAGAAAGATATTTCTGAGTTTCCCTTCTGACACCTGTGAACTACAAATACCAAAAATCTTTAAAGTCACAGGATCAACACTTCCACTTCTCCATACAGTGGTAGGTAATAAAGGACTTCAGTGACTCTGCTGGTCCTAAAACACACTTAAGGTTCTTAACATTCTTCTTTGCTTCCTATTCCAAATAAAATAAATAAAACTCTTCTCCAAACTCACAGCCACTCTGGAGAATGGTTTGGCTCTGGTTATTCCTTTGTCCTCTTACTGAACTGTCCCTTCGTACTGCTGTTTCAAGATTCTGCTTTCTTTAGCCCAAAATATCAGCTTCTGAGAAAAAATTTTAAAACAAAGGAAAAAAGGCAGGCCTATCTCCAGATGTAAAAAAAAAGTAAAACGATACAAAAACTTTACCAAACAAATCGCCTAGTTCTAGGGAGCTTTGTTTTCCTGGTAATTAGGAATCTGCCCCACCCACCTCCCTCTAAAGGAGTTGTCAGGTCTCCACCGCAATGTCCCAGAACGGTGACGGTGGCAACTCGGTTCTCACCTGCAGTTTTCATATCCGTGGTTGAAAGTGTGGGCACCACCCTCAGGGGCACCGCAGGACTAGGAGAACGTGCTGGAGAGCTCGGAAGCCATGAGCTGAGATCTTCAAAAGAAAATTGTTCTTGTAAATCCAACGTGGCTGTGGACTCCAATAGGGGAGATTGGGTAAGTGGCCATTTGGGTTCAACAAGGCTAAGCCAACAACATGGAGGCCAGGGTTCCACACTCCTTTCTGACCCTTCCCCAGAGGAGCTGGAGCACACTTAGGTCATCTAACGGCTCTTCCAGGAAGAGAGACTTCAACAGAGTGCTGGGGTCGCATTGCAGCAGGCCGACAGCCACTACTACTCTCCTGTAAGGGGAAAATAGTTCTCTCAAGTGGCAAATGGGACCAGTCAGGCCCACTGTGGAGAACCCTGTCATGCAGGCAGTCGCCTGGCGGGCTCTCATCTATGCTCAAATGCCACAAGGCCATGAGGGTGAAAAAGGCCATGTAGTCACTCCCCATCTGACGGCAATGCCTTAGCAACCCAAAGACCAAGACCTTCTGAGCCCCGCTATCCACCCCAGATCAAGACAACTCAAGAGGGTTTCTCTGCTGGGGAGATCAATGGCTACCACTGGCTCCAACCGGACAAGCGGCCGGTATCAATCCAATACCCCAGCTACCCCAAGCGCCCGAGGACACTCACCCTCTTCATCAGATGACAGGGCTGTGTCACCACACTCCTCTTTCACCTCCCTCAAGACCTTCAAGTAGCGCTGCTGGGTCCGCCACTCCCGCTCCTCAGGAGTGCGGGATGGTGAAGGCCGTTTCTGCCGGAAGGGAAGGGCGGGGCCGCTCCGCCGGGCCATCTCCAGCAGATCCTAGGAAGAGATCAGGTGGGGGTACACGTCATCATCCAAGACCTGTTCTGGAACAATGAACACTCTACAAGTCTACGTTTTCTTCTCTTCAGTGTGAAGCCCAACTCCCTCCCTCCAGATCACAAAGAAAGATACACATATATATCAACACATTCAAATAAAAAGAACCTGTATTGATTACATGAAGAAAAATCCCAAATCTGAGTGTTGAAGTGCTCTACTAGGAATGAATACTTTTTTATACTAGACACCCAAGTATTTCTATACCAAAGCTTAAAGGATGACTTAAAACCCAAACAACTTTGCCTCTAAGAATTTCCAGCGGCCATTGGGCCTATTATGCTACCATCCATCACAGCATTCAGAGGCCTGTGCACACCTTCATATCCATTCCAAGGAATCCTGGTTTCCCTTAATAACCCATGATGGATCCAAAATCCATCTGTTTATCTTGGTAAACACTGAAGCTACTGTAATTTCGTCAATTTTAAGAAGCACTTGTTTTTATGTTTTAACACCTGTGAAATCAGGACACATTTGAAGTTTATCATAAGAAAGGATGGCATAGCTTAACTGTGTTACAGATTAATCAGCAGCATTTTTTTCTTAGTGGCAACTTTTGCGTTTTGCACCTGAAATGCTTCTTGAAGTCATGATACCTGTGACCAGCCACATTCTATATCCAGTTCCGAGCACTACTTACACTCCGGGATGCAAGAATTTGCTTCAGCAGCCGATGGAAATACTGCTGCTGGGAGTTGAGGTAGCGCTTGTACTGTGACTTGAAGCATAGCTGCCGGTACTTGACCACCTCGGGGTTAAAGTGTCCATCTTAAAAAAATAAAGGTATACATACGCATCAGTCAACGAATATACATCATCAGTCAACAAATATATTGAATGAGTGCTTAACATGGTAAACTCTGTACCACAAAACTTAAGGGCAAAGTGAACATCTAAGAGAATCAGGAAACAGAACCAAAAGTAAGTGTGCTGAGAAGCAATGACAGCTCATTTAAGGCTGATGACCATCATAGCCACAGTCATGCAACTGTCTTCGGCAACACGAGAACTGATACGTGGCACGGGTCAGAGTGGAATATGCAGGAAGTCCTGCCTTGACATTCCTCACTTGTATCCTTACCAGACTACCACACTGTTTTGGGGGAAACGTGCCAGCACAAGAGACAGTGCCACCATTATGGAAGGTCACTTACAGAGCCCCTCTAAAGCCAAGTGGATCTCCCTGACTTCTGCTCCACCAGAGGAGACAGTGCACCCTCAGCTGTAGTGAAACAGATCTCTGACAACCATAGAGGGGAATTCCTTTTCACACTAGTAACCCACCAAAGGGGGGAATGTTCATTTTAAAGTCTTAAAATAATGAGATTTCAGATGATAAGCCTGCTCTCTCTGGTCATTAGCAGCTGTCAAGTTGTCGAGTTTAACAGAATTCAAGATGTGCTGCTCATTCAGGGCCTTGTGTCAGAACAAAGTCACCCTGGAAAGGAAGGGGAAGAGGCTTCTTTGGCTCCTCTCCATGGTACAGAAAGCAAACTGTAACTTAAAGAGCGGTCCAAACCATTCTGCAACTCCCAATATAATAACTGATGCAGTTGAGAATCACCCATGGATGCAAAAACCACCGGGTAAAACAAAGGCTTTGGCCGGGCGCGGTGGCTCAAGCCTGTAATCCCAGCACTTTGGGAGGCCGAGACGGGCGGATCACGAGGTCAGGAGATCGAGACCATCCTGGCTAACACAGTGAAACCCCGTCTCTACTAAAAAATACAAAAAAATAGCCGGGCGAGGTGGCGGGCGCCTGTAGTCCCAGCTACTTGGGAGGCTGAGGCAGGAGAATGGCGAAAACCCGGGAGGCGGAGCTTGCAGTGAGCTGAGATCCGGCCACTGCACTCTAGCACGGGCGGCAGAGCGAGACTCCGTCTCAAAAAAAAAAAGAAAATTAGAACATGAAGGCCAGGCACCGTGGCTCATGCCTGTAATCCCAGCACTTTGGGAGGCCAAGGCCGGTGGATCATGAGCTCAGGAGATCAAGACCATCGTGGCTAACACAGTGAAACCCCGTCTCTACTAAAAACACAAAAAATTAGCCAGGCCCGGTGGCAGGCCCCTGTAGTCCCAGCTACTCAGAAGGCTGAGGCAGGAGAATGGTGTGAACCCAGGAGGTGGAGCTTGCAGTGAGCTGAGATTGCGCCAGGTGACAGAGCGAGACTGTTCCCCCCCCAAAAAAAAAGAAGAAGAAAATTTGAACATGAAATAGCCTATGATATCATCTGCTCAATGCAAAATTCCTTGTGTGTGGTAACAGGGCTGTCATGATACGGGAGAGTGTCTGTTCAGAGACATGGACATGCTTAAGTGCTTGCCAGTGACCTGTCACATCTTCTGCAGCAAAAAGTGTGTACCTAAACACACACACACACACACACACACCTTGATACGTGCAATAAAGCAAATGGCAAGCTCTGTTAAAAAATTTTTAAAGACCAGGCACGAAGGCACCTCTAGTATGCTGGAAATGTTTTTTTTCTTTATGTAGATGCTGGTTACACAGCTGAGATCATATTATGTATTTTCTATATAAGTCAATAAATTTTATTTTTTGAAACACAGCCTAGACAGCAAAGTGTTACACAAAACCGCTCTCTGCCAGCTCAGTATCTGTACATGAAGATAAAGAGAAGAAAAGGAAGAAAGGAACACCCACATAAGTGAATGTGTGCCCATCTACCACTCCCCTCAAAGAAAGAATACTGAGCTACAAACCTCGGAAAAGCTTCTGGGCAATGTGCAGAGGATTTCCAAAGCGGAAGTTCTCTCCACTGAACAGGGCTAAGATGAGTTCGTTCTGCTGCTCAGCACTGTCTTCAGGAAACTGAGGCAGAAACTGCTGGAGGTGTTCACGTTGAGAATCACTTAACACTTCCTGCCATGTTGAGAGGCTGACAACATCAAAGAAGATCTCAGGCTAGAAGAAATAGGAAAGGTAAACAAAAGTAATATCGATTTTTAAGTTTTTTGTATGTGTGTGCACACAAAACATTACATAATATACATAAGATTTACCAATTTAACCATTTTTAAGTGTAGACTTCAGTGGTATTGCATTCACATTTGCCGTGCAACTATCACTACCAACTTTTCATGTTTTGTTTTGTTTTTTTTTGAGACCGAATTTTGCTCTTGTTGCCCAAGCTGGAGTGCAACGGCACGATCTTGGCTCACTGCAACCTCTGCCTCCCAGGCTCAAGCGATTCTCCTACCTCACCCTCCCAAGTAGCTGGGATTACAAGTGTGCACCACCACGCCTGGCTATTTTTTGCATTTTTAGTAGAGATGAGGTTTCACCACGTTGACCAGGCTGGTCTCGAACTCCTGACCTACGGCGATCTGCCTGCCTCGGCCTCCCAAAGTGCTGGGATTACAGGCATAAGCCACGGTGCCTGGCCTACATTTTTAAAAATAAACTAAAATTCCAATGATCTGAGATTAAAGACTACATATGAGCCACAGTCTTTTATCAAACAGTAAATAATAATCCAGAGGAAAATGATTTCAGTAGAGAATCTCACTTGGAAGCCGCCTCTGCCAATGAGGGTATGAGGGTGGACATCTGAATTCAGCTTCAACTGAGTGGCAGGAAAAGGTTAACATGAAAGGAATGAACTTGAGGAATTGAAGTCACTAGCTAAGAGTGAGAAGAAACAGGACGGAGTTCATTTTCAACTCACGGGTTACATACTGGATACCTTCCATGAGCAAAATGCTAATTTGGCCTGGCATATATGGGGTCTGAGGTAGGGAACAATTAAACATTCAGTTACAATGTAGTTAAAGAAGTGCCGATGTGTATGGAAGCAAACATCCCACATTTACAATGCAGAGAACGCTCACCAAAAAACCGTTGTTTAAGACAGGAGAAGGACAAGGAAGGAGAAAAAAGATGGTCGAGGACAGGGTTAGAAATCCACAGAGCAGCACCACAAAAACAAACAAAAAAAATTAACACAAAAGAAAGGATAGCAGTTGCCTGTGGGGGAATGGAGAGGGATAAGACAGTGTGCGTGGGGGCGGGCTTCAGTGGTCTTGGTAGTGCTCCTACCCTAACTGAAGGCTATACCCATGTTTTATTATTGTTTTACCTGTGTGTATATATATGCATTTTATAGACTCTTTTGTGTGATACATTTCACTTTTTTTTTTTTTTAAAGGCACATATACACCATGGAATACTATGCAGCCATAAAAAAGGATGAGTTTGTGTCCTTTGTAGGGACATGGATACAGCTGGAAACCATCATTCTTAGCAAACTATCACAAGAACAGAAAACCAAACACCGCATGTTCTCACTCATAGGCGGGAACTGAACAATGAGATCACTTGGACTCGGGAAGGGGAACATCACACACCGGGGCCTATCATGGGGAGGGGGGAGGGGGGAGGGATTGCATTGGGAGTTATACCTGATGTAAATGACGAGTTGATGGGTGCTGACGAGTTGATGGGTGCAGCACAGCAACATGGCACAAGCATACATATGTAACAAACCTGCACGTTATGCACATGTACCCTAGAACTTAAAGTATAATAATAAATAAAAAAAAAAGAGTTCAGGCAATATTTGGCTAGAGCAAGAACAGGGAGGGAGGTGGAGGCAGCAGACAGCAGAAAGATGCAAAGGACGGCAAGTATTTCAGGTAGTTGTGACTTTATCCTTAAGGACAATAGAGACCCACGAAAGGGTTTCGGCAGGAAACAACCCAGAAATCACAACCACCTACTCCAGGCATCGTTACATGAATGTATCAAAAACACCTCAGTCCCAATGCCCAGGATTTTCCCCTGCAAGCCTATTTTTGCCTACCATTTTATTCCTAGCATCTAACTCAGTGTCTGGCATAGAGGTGCCTAATGGAACAAGTGTTTGCTGACTACATGAGTAACATAAAGGGATTGTCCTGAAAGAGTATGCCAAGAAAACATGGATGGGAACTATGTACATCAACTGCAGTACAGTTGTTAGTAGCTGGGAGAGAAGATGAGACAACAGCACACTGGTGGCTTTCATTTTATCCATAACGCTTGACATATTACCAAAGAAGAATGTAAAACAAAAAACTAAATTCTCTCTTAAAACTGGGTGATGCACAGATGACTGTTTGCTATATCATGCTCCACACCTGTATGTTCAAAATATGGAAAACAAAAGAAATATGTAATTAAATGAATGTTTTCACATACACAGTGGCTCGCAAATAATAAGCACTTAATAAACAGTAGCCACCTTAATGATGATGACGACGCATCTTGCCTGTGAAAGCGGACAAAAACAAGCTAGCATCCCATCCCAGGGCATACACTATTATTGAGTAGTGGGTTACCTTATGGATACAGAAAATACGTGTAGATTTTGCTTAATGTTCCACGACATGGTAACCATTTTAAACACACATATAATTCTGCTTTTAAAATATACCTTTTAAGAATGTTTATTTTCTATTAGTAAGTGGTCTTATTGACATCACTGAACATAACCATGTATAACATTTATTCGTTTCCCACTGAAAGGCTTCCCAATGGAACTGTTTCCAGCAGAATATAGATCCAGGCATTAGGCAATTCCAGTGATGTTCTACGGTTGAAAAGGTAGTGGTGACCAGAACCAGAGGCCTTGTCCGTGCTTGCAATAGGACTCAGTATTATCCTGCTGGGCAAAAGAAACGCTAAGAGATACAATCGTGCCATGACTGAAAAAAGCCAGGAGCACAAAAGATACCAGATAGCCCACAGGTTGAAAATGAGAGCAAACGACACGACCTCTCCCGTGTACCAATATGCTCTGAATCTAAAATAAGTCCGGGCAGCAAACTAAGAATGACAGTCTATTTCCTACGGTTTATTAAGTTTGGGCCCTGCAGATAAGACTGCCAGAAAAGCAGCTGTAGTTTAAGTGGTCCGGACATTTCTCAGCTGAACATAAACAACAATCAGCTCATTCAGATTGCTGGGTCCCTACTCAGTTGTTGGAAGGAGGGCAAGCATGGGGCAATCCAGGCCAGACAAAAGGAGTGAACTGGGGTGAATGACCCCAGGCTGTGATGGATTCCCGAGTCACCAGGACCCTCAGGGGCTTAAGGCCCTACACAGAAATTCTACTGCCAGCCTTAGCACCACTAGCACCACTGCAGCGGCCTCCATAGTACTCCACTGCCAATCAATCTGTAACGACAGTGCACACCCTCTTAGTGACTACGTTTTTAGATCACACATCAAATTACTAATGTAAACCAAACTACTACATTTAGTGATAAACATGTACCTCATAAATATCAGGGAATGAAAGTGTCTCAAATAGTTGAAAAGAACCAAATGAATAAAGAAGACTACCTCTAAGTTTACAACAAAAACATTTAAAAGAAATACTGCAACTGTTAACTAATAGATTTACTAACACAGTAAGACACCGCGTCAGAGAGGAATTAATTGCCAAATATTTCACAGTGAAGATTAAGTACTCAGAACAATATTCTGGTTTTAGTAGAAAAGACACCCACTGATGTATTTCTTCATATTTGTTTTCCATAATTTCTACTTTTTTTTTTTCTATTTTTAATTATTATTTCAATAGTATTGGGGGAACAGGTGGTGTCTGGTTACATGGGTAAATTCTTTAGTGGTTATTTCTGAGATTCTGGTGCGCCCATCACCCAAGCAGCGTACGCTGCATCCAATGTGTAGTCTTTTACCCCTCACAGCACGCCCATCCTTCCCCGCAAGTCCCCAGAGTCCATTATCATTCTTACGCCTTTGCGTCCTCAAAGCTTAGCTGTCACTTATAAGTGAGAACAATGTTTGCTTTTCCATTCCCAAGTTACTTCACTTAGAATAATGACCTCCATTTCCATCCAGTTTGCTGCAAATGCCATTATTTCATTCCTTTTTATGGCTGAGTAGTATTCCACGGTTCAAATATACAACCTTTTTTAATGGATGAAAATTATCTTGTTAAAAATAGGGCTTATATCACGTTATCAAGTTATTTTGACATGTTATTAAACATGCAGAATGCAGCTTGTTTTCTTCCTTAATCAGATACTAAATAGACTCTAAACTTTAAAAAAAGATAAGAGATCAGGCTGCCTGCGATGTAGAAAATGAACAAAAGGGAGCACAAAAGACTGGAAATGGAGAGTGAAAAAGGTTTCCCATAACTGTTACAAGGAAGCTGATAGAGAGGAAAAGGTCGCAACCATGTTACTACTCACATCCTCCAGAAGGTCCTCAGGCAGACTAACTCTGGTGCCTCCCAGGAGGCAATCCTCCATGATGCGCGTGCCATGGCCATCTCCACATGGACCAAGTTCCAGAGGATCTGTCAGCATATGGTCTAAGGAATCCATTGTTTCTTCTCCACAGGTACTCTGGACAAAGACATGCATCTTGAGACAGAAAGGCAGAAATTCCAGGGATCTAGCTGATGCTAACACTCCTCCAGAAAAACATTCAGCCTCCAGCCAGTTCTTACACCTTATCCTTGCACCCTAATTATAGCTAAACAGCTCTTCTCCCTCCCTTTCACCACAGCATTCCCACTGGAATTTTCAAGTGTTATCTGGAAGAGTTCTTTTCTCAGAATGCTCCTACAGTAACTCCTAAATTCATAAATTTCATATGCCTTCACTTTACAGATGAGTAAAATGAGCCTGACATTAAATGATAAACAGATCACAATCTATAATTTACACTTCCCAGACCAATAATCATTCTCCCACAGTGTAATTCTTTAACAGCTGTTTTTTAGCAATTAATTCTTTGTTGCTGGCTGGGTGCAGTAACTCACACCTACAGTCCCAGTACTTTGGGAGGTTGAGGCGGGCTGTCCCCTTGCATCCAGGAGTTTGAGACCAGCCTACGGAACATGGCAAAACCCCTTCTCTACAAAAAATAAAAATAAATCAGCCAGGCGTGGTGGCACACGCCTGTAGTCCCAGCTACTCGGGAGGCTGAGGTGGGAAGATCGCTTGAACACGAGAGGGAGAGGATGCAATGAGCCGTGATCACACTCCAGCCTGGGCAACAGAGACCCTGTCTCAAAAAGAAAAAAAAAAGAAAAATAGAAAGAATATTCTTTATTGCTCTTTCACAAAAGAAAATTTGCTGAAAATCAACCTACACTAGTAAAATGCAAATGCTAACGGTCACTTCATGAGGGCCTATCAAACACCAGGCCTTTCACATATCTCATTTAATTCCTACAACTGTGCAAAGTACGGTCATGGGTTTTTACAACAGAATTAAAACTGAAAATCAGAGTAGGTCAGTAACTTGCCCAGCCCAGAGGCAGTATTGAAATTCAGGTCTGCCTGCCTGCAAACCCATGTGCTTAATGCTACACACAATACCTCTTGTATAACCTCGCAACATTTAAATAATGAAAAGGAAGCTTACTGATATGACTTTATTAGTCCACATAAATTCCTGAGGTTCCACACACCTGACCATAACACCCAGTAAAGTCAATGGCCAGTCTGCCTTTAGGTGGTCCATCTGATCCGTATAATCATGTAAATTAATGCTACTTTTCTCCTTCCTGTAATAACTGAACACTGCTGAACACCTTTAGAAAACTACACATTACAACATTTCGGACTGATGGCTGGGATTAGGTGTCAAGTTGACAGCACAGGACTGCACAATGCTAACAGGACCACAGGGAGCTTCAACTCAATCACTCTGCTAACATTTACTCAATCCATCCTTTCCAGCTCCTACTTCTACGAAGTGGGCTAAAAAACACACTAAAATGAAAAGAAAAAAGGATGTTAACAGTCAAAACACCAGAATTCCAGCCAAGGTCTGCCACTAACATTCCACAAATCTTACCAAGCCAGGTGTCAATTTCCTTATTTGATGAAGGGAAGCTGGACCGGGTCCTCCCTCCCGTTATTTCCAACGCTGAAATCCTGCAATGAATAATCTCCAGATGAGTGACAGTGTGAATTACGTAATACAGGTACTTTTCTTTCCCAAAATTCTCAAATGATAACAGATCTATAATAACTACATGTAAAGTGAAGCATGTTCCACTAAATTATCTCAAGTTCCCTTGAAGAGATTTCAGATCCATGTAAAGATACAGCAAAAACTTCAGTGTTGGGTCAAGGCAGGCGGGTGGTCCCCAAGCAACTCTGCCCCATCATCGCCCTTCAGCACATGATGAAATGACATCCTGACCATGCCTGTGCCTAAATAAGTGAAGCCGGTGAGAAGTATATGAGTTTAACGAAATTTCAAAATAGCAAAAAAAATTGCAGAAGCAACCTGATGCTCAGAATAAAACCTTCTTAACAGAACTGGCATAGAACAGACTATCAGCTGCAAAGTCAGTGTCCTACCTGCCTCTTGGGAGGTCTATCTCTATACAACTTGCTCACAAGTTTCTTCAAAGACGGTGCATGTCTAGCTAAATTTTATCCAGTCCAGTGACAACCTTTGCACTGCCACTATTCCGAACACCAAAACACTCAAAACACCAAAACCAGGCAGCCGCCAGGGAGTTGGACCCCGGAAGCCCAGGATTTCCAGCTCTTGGTGCGTTCTGAACCTCTTCACTAGACCAGGAAGGCCTGTCGGCCTCTCATCACTGGCTTTTCCTCAGCACCTGGTCTAACTTTCCCCGCTGGACCCTCCCCAATGCAGAAGCTAAACCCTCGGGTCCTTCCGGAGCAACAGCCGGCTCCAAACCCGTCAACTCTGCAGCAAATCCCGCGCCGGTGCCAGCCCGGCTGGCCCAAGCCGGGGTCCCATCCTCAGAACTGCACGGCTCGGCCCCGCCCCTCCCCCACGCGTGCCTAACCCTAACCCCCAGCCTCACGCGTCGCACCGCTCCCCACGCCCCGCTCCGGCTCCCCACGCCCACAGGGGAAGCGACCTCGCGGACCCAGCCGCCTGCTCCCGCTCCCACCACTCCCCCCAGATACTTTAACCCTTTCGCCGCCCCTTGCCCGCCCTCACCTGATCCGCGGGCGCCGGTCCCCTAACCCGCAGCCCTTCTCCGGCCGCGGGCTCCCGGACGCGCTCGCTCCCACAAGGAGTCTGGGTGCGCGCACGCTCTGGGACTGAGCGGCGGAAGGGGCGGGGCAGCGCAGGGCGGGGCCTGGAGGGTGCCGGGGCGGGGCCACAGCGGGCGGGGCCTGGAGCGGGGCGACTGGCACGACGGTCGGCGAAGGTGCCTGCGCGCGCCTGGGCCTGGGAATGCAGGTTCCAGCCCGCTTGCGCGTCTCACCTGATGTAGGAGCTTCCAGAGGCCCCAGACAGTGCCTGTGTTTGCCTGACCGCGAATCAAAGTTCCATAGCTCATGAGCGAAGGCACGTCTATTAGCTGACGTTTGCAGAGAGCATACCCTGCCCCAGGCCCTATGCTAAGCACTTTCTACCCACCGTCTTTGTGCTGCAGCCCTGTGAGCTATGCACTATTAGTGCCTATTTTACAGTTGAGGACGTGAGTAGAACACGACCTCAGCCTGTGCCTCTGAGTTCCTTCATTCCTCCTTCCCGTCCCCGGGCCCTCGATGTCCAGAAAGAAAGTAAACACATCGAAGGATCACATTTTAAGTTAAACTCCATCATATTCCTCTTGTTAGATATCAAGGACCCTTTCCTCTTATTCACTGGGTTTTGCTTAGTACAGCTTCACACTACTTATTCCAGGTACTCCCAGCAGTGGCGCAGAGACCATCCTCAGTTCCCTGTGTGGATGGAACCAGAGATGCCGGCCGGCCGAGCTAATGTTCTTCCTTTCCTGGAAAAGAGTAGTTTCCAAACCACCTAATCTCTGCTCCTCTGCTGGCTCCACAAATGCCCTAAGTTGCTGTTACACTGTTGAGAGGCTCTTGAATTAGAAACGATCAAGTATAAATGGCAGTGGACTATCACTCCATAGTTGTCACCGATATTTCCCTTACGTTGCGATTGTGACAAGACCAGAAAGAGAAAAAGAGTAAAAACAATGTAAACTATAATTTTTGATTGACTTTGGTTTTTAGAGCGGTTTAAAGTTAACAACAAAATTGAGCAGAACAGAGATTTTCCAAATACTCCCCGCCCCACCTCCCCACATGCATCGCCTCCCCTTTAATCAACATCCCCTACCAGAGTGGTACATTTCTTAGAACTGACGAACCCTGCCCGGCCTGGTGGCTCACGCCTATAATCCCAACACTTTGGGAGGCCGAGGCGGGTGGATCCCGAGGTCAGGAGATCGAGACCATCCTGGCCAACATGGTGAAACCCCGTCTCTACTAAAAATACAAAAATTAGCTGGGTGTGGTGGCGGGCGCCTGTTAGTCCTAGCTACTCGAGAGGTTGAGGCAGGAGAATTGCTTGAACCCGGGAGGCAGAGATTGCAGTGAGCCGAGATTACCCTGTTGCATTCCAGCCTGGTGACAGAGTGAGACTCCGTCTCAAACAAACAAAGAACTGATGAACCTATACTGATACTCATTAGCCACCATCACAGTATAATGCAGAGTAATTTCACTGTCTTAAAAATCATCTGTGCTCTGCATATTCATCTCTCCCTCTCCTCTATCCCTGGCAACCGCTGATCTTTTTGTCTCCATAGTTTTGCCTTTTTCCAGAATGTCTAGTTGGAATTACATAGTATATAGCCGTTTCGGATTGGCTTCTTTCTCCTGGTAACAGGCATTGAAGTTTCCTCCATGTCTTTTCATGACTTGATAGCTCCTATTTCTTTTTAGTGCTGAATAATATCCCATTCCATTGCGGTATTCCAATAGATCCGCCACAGTTTTATCTATTCGCTTTCTGAAGGACGTCTTCATTGTTTCCAGGTTTTGGCAATTATGAATCAAGCCAATTGCCACATTACCTTCCAAAGCAGCTATACCATTTTGCATTCACACCAGCAATGAATGAGAGTTCCTGTTGCTTCTCATTCTCACTAGCACTTGGTATTGTCAGTATTCTGAATTTTGCCCATTCCAATAGCTCCATAGTGGTGTCTCGTAATCTTTTTTGTTTTTAATTTTTATTTTTTGTAGAGACGGGATTTCGCCATGTTGCCCAGGCTGGTCCCTAACTCCTGGGCTCAAGCAATCCACCCACCCCACCCTCCCAAAGTGCTGGGATTACAGGCATGAGCCACTGCATCTGGCCTCATGTTGTTTTAATTTGCATTTCCCTGATGTAGAGCCTCTTTCACATACTTCTTTACCATCTTTATATATTTTTTACTGAGGTGTCTCTTAAGGACTTCGGCCCATTTTTTAGTTTTCTTATTGTTGAGTTTTCATTGTTCTTTGTATATTTTAGATAACAGTCCTTTATCAGGTGTGTGTTTTACAAATATTTTCTCCCAGTCTGTGGCTTATCTTTCCATTCTCCAGTCTCTCTCTCTCTCAGGGCAGAAATTTTAAATTTTAACGAATTCCAGGCTACCAATTATTTCTTCGTGCCTTTGGTGTTATATCTAAAAAGTCATCACAAGACCCAAAGTCATCTAGGTTGTCTCCCATGTTATCTTCTAGTTTTATAGTTTTGCATTTTACATTTAGGCCTATGATCCATTTTGAGTTACTTTTTGTGAAGAGTGTAAGGTCCATGTCTAGATTCATTTTTTTTTTTTTTGCATGTGGATCCCCAGTGTTTTTTTTTTTTTTTTTTTTTGAGACAGGGTCTTACTCTGTCACCAGGGCTGCAGTGCAGTGGTGTGATCTCAGCTCAGCTCACTGCACCCTCTGCCTCCCAGGCTGAAGCAATCCTCCTGTCTCTACCTTCCAGGTAGCTGGGACTATAGGCATGTGCCACCATGCACAGCTAATTTTGAGGGTTTTTTTGTTTGTTTTGTAGAGATGGGCTTTTGCCACGTTGCCCTAGCTGATTGCAAACTCCTGGACACAAGTAATCTATCCACCTTGACCTCCCAAAGTGCTGGGATCACAGGCATGAGCCACTACGCCTGGCCTCCAGCACCATTTCTTTTTCCTCTGCCTCCCGGGTTTACACCATTCTCCTGCCTCAGCCTCCGGAGTAGCTGGGACTACAGGCGCCCGCCACCTCGCCCGGCTAGTTTTTTTTTTTTTTTGTATTTTTAGTAGAGACGGGGTTTCACTGTGTTAGCCAGGATGGTCTCGATCTCCTGACCTCGTGATCCGCCCGTCTCGGCCTCCCAAAGTGCTGGGATTACAGGCTTGAGCCACCGCGCCCGGCCATAGTCTAGTGCTCCATTTCTTCTTCTTGAAAAGACTATCGTTTACTACATTGCCTTACCTCCTTTGTCAAAAATCACTTGACTCTATTCATCTGGGTCCACTACTGGGCTCTCTATACTCTTGCATTGTTCTACTTGTCTTTCACCAGTACCACATTGTTTTGATTACTGTAGCTTTATATTAAGTCTTGAAGTCCGGCACTGCAGTCTTCCAACTTTGTTGTTCTCCTTTAACAATGTGTTGGCTATTTAGGGTCTTTTGCCTCTCCATATAAACTCTAAAGTCAGTCTGTTGATATCCACTAAGTAACTTGCCGGGATTTTGATTGGGATTACATTGAATCTGTAGATTACATTGGGAAAACCTGACATTTGGACAATATTAAGTCCTCTTATCCATGAATACTTTCATTTATTTAGTTCTTCATTGATTTCTTTCATCAGATTTGTAGTTTTCACCATATATATATTGTGCATATTTTGTTAGATGTATACCTAAGTATTTCATTTTTGGGTGTGCTAATGTGAATGGTATCATGTCTTTCCTTTCAATTTCCACTTGTCCATTGCTGGTATATAGGAATGTGATTGACTTTTTAAAATTAACTTTATACCCTGCAACCTTGCTATAATTGCTTATTAGTTCCAGGATTTTTTTTTTTTATTCTTGGCCGGGTGTGGTGGCTCACACCTACAATCCCAGCATGTTGGGAGGCCAAGGCGGGTGGATCACTGGAGGTTAGGAGTTCAAGACCAGCTTGGCTAACATGGTGAAACCCTGTCTTTACTAAAAATACAAAAATTAGCCAGGCATGGTGGCGGGTGCCTGTAATCCCAGTTACTTGGGAGGCTGAGGCAGGAGAATTACTGGAATCCAGGAGGCAGAGCTTTCTGTGAGCCAAGATCACACTATTGCATTCCAGCCTGGGCAACAGAACAAGACTCTGTCTCAAAACATTAAATTAACCTTACACCCTGCAACCTTGCTATAATTGCTTATTAGTTCAGTTTTTTTTTAAATCTTTTGGATTTTTGTCACCTGTGAACAGAGACAGTTTTATTTTTTCTTGCCAATCTGTATGCCTTTTTTTTTTTTTTTTTTTCCCTGTCTCATTGCATTAGCTAGGACTACCGGTACAATGGTAAAAAGCAGTGGTGAGAAGGAACATCTTTATCTGGTTCCTGATATTAGCAGGAAAGCTTTGAAAGCTTTGAATTTCTCACCATTAAGTATGATGTTTGTTGTAGGGTTTTTGTGGATCTTCTTTATCAAGTAGAAAAAGTGCCCTTCTATTACTAGTTTGAGAGTTTTTATCATAGGTGGGTTTCAGAGTTTTGTCAAATGTTTTTCTGTGTCCATTGATATGATCATGTGATATTTCTTCTTAGCCTGTCGATATAATGTTTTACATTAAATTGTTTTCAAATGTTGAACCAGCCTTGCATACCTGGGATAAATCCCACATGGTTGTGGTGTATAATTGTTTTTATACATTGTTGAGGGCTTTGGCATCAATGTTCTCGAGCTATATAGGTCTGTACTTTTTCTTGTAATGTCTTTGTCTGATTTTAGTATTAGGGTGATGCTGCCCTCACAGAATGAGTTAAGATCCTCTTTTCCTCCCTGGCTGTCTGAGGATAGACCGCCATCATGAACGATACAGTAACTGCTCAAACTAGAACGTTCATGACCAACCGACTACTTCAGAGGAAACAAATGCTCATTGATGTCCTTCACCCCAGGAAGGCAATAGGCCTAAGACAGAAATTCGGGAGAAACTAGCCAAAATGTGCAAGACCACACCAGATGTCATCTCTGTATTTGGATTCGGAACTCATTTTGGTGGTGGTAAGACAACTGGCTTTGGCATGCTTTATGATTCCTTGGATTATG